GTTTTTTTTTTTTTTTTTGGTCTGTCCACATAAATGAGGATGATCCAGAAACATTAACTGACCTCAGATAATCAGTGTAATGTACCTCATTAGTCATCTGGAGTGCCCATTATTAATAGTATTGATTTATGATCAAACCAGTTTTTCCTGTCGTGATTAAGGCTTAAAATGTTAATGCTGTGTTCGTTTTTAAATGGCTAAAAGTAGATTGGTCAGGGTACCTATGGGAATAATCAGTGAAGCTGGCCTTAATGTGATAAAGGCATGGTATTGAGTCCTGCGCAGTACATTCTTCTGCGGCAAGCATTTTTTTTTTTTAATCAATTCAAGAAGTTTTTACGTTTTATGTTGAGAGATCTGAAAAGTGCCAGATAAACTTTTTATCTTACTGAACTGTATAAAGTTTAAATTTGATTTTTAACAATGTAGCATCCAGGAGAGTTTATATCGCATAATTGCTCGTCTGTTCTGAGGCAGTTGGGGCTATATTTTTATTGCTGGTTTTCATCCGTGCTTGAACTTTTACTTTAAAAATCAGGTTAAAAGCAAAGTTTATAAATGGGTACTTTTCTTTCATAACTTGGACATTATTTTTTAACCATTTTATACCTTCAAGTGGCATGTCCTCCCCCCGCCCCCCATTCCAGATGACATCTGGGAGGATTTTCTTCACCTTGTTCTCTTCTTACACTTCCTAGTTAATATTTCACAGCAGCCCATTTAAGGATGTCCCTCAGAGGTTGAACAGCTTCTATGGAATAATGGAATAATCAGGGAAGTGTTCGTTTGATTTTACTATTCAGGATTTTATTTAGTGATCAGTTGTTGGTGCATAGAAATGCCGACAGTAGGTTTCATTCACATTTCACCATATTAGGTTCTAAGGTGATGAGAATGTCAGTCAAGGAACAGGGGTGCTTGAACAACGGTCTGTTGCTCATTGTTAACCACTTAGTGACTGATTAGTCTAATATAGGAAAGATTAAAAGGTGTAGCACCCTAGAATTTCCTTTCCTCTACTTATTGCGCTTTTTGGATTGTGAAGCATTTGCTTAACCAGGTTAGAAAACGGTTATTAGCAGCTTAGCAAATGTGTAGAACTCTGATCATTTTGCTTTTATTCCCCTTTGGGGCAGTGCTGACGAAAGTATTGGGGTGGGGGTTTGGGATTTGGATTTTTTGTTGCTTCAGTAAAAGGTAAATGCGATTCGGAATCGGTTTTCACTTAAAGGGGGAATTCTTAGCCCACGTGTGCGTGTCAGCCATCATCCAGCATCCGTCAGTACTTATGTGCTTGTAGGCTACCGGGCGAAGTTGATGCTAAAAGAAATCTTTTTGTGTCTAATCTCTTTAGCAGGGGGAGCAATCTCAGAACTGTTATGAAGACCCTTGAAGTTCTTCGTTCTCCCCCCACTTTGCCATCATGTGGCCTCTGGACACTGTGGTCAGTCATTTGAGATTGACTTTAATTTAACACAAAGGCCTCTACCTCCGACCCAGGAGGTGGAAGGAGCGAATCGTATGTTTGAATGAAGAAGTGAATTATGGAAGAAGAGTATACGGCCCTTCCCTTCCAAGCAGAAGTCCAAATAGGCTCTCAGGAATGAGGATTCGTGAAGATATCAAGCAGGAGTTTTGACTCATTCAAGCTTCAATGCTTAGTTCTGTTGCTGGACAAAAGAGACCAGTGTTGCTCCTCTAACTGTTGTACCCAGGATCATTTTGACCTGACATTTCCTGTCTCCTATTAGCCTTTCATCCTCCATGCATGTCCTCGAGTGACTTAATCTTATCTGAAGTTTTGCAGCCGGTGTCCTAGAAAAACTTCTGTTGCATATTCTGTCTTCCATTTTTAAACTCCCTCTCTCGCCAGATACCTCCTCTATTTCCATTTTGCGTACAGAGGAGGGGCAGAAAAGAAAGTGCTTGAAAGAGTTCGTTTTCAGAAAGGGAAGAAAGATAAGAAAGGCCCCCTCTTCTTAACATACCCCATTTTGCTCAAGAAGCTGGGCTGGAAGAGGGTCAAGGCTTTTCTTTGTTTTCCTGGCATTGCATGGTTTCCTCCAGTGGTGGTTCATTCTCATTAATCATGGTTTTTGAAAGTAGCTAGTCTCATCCATCTGCAGCAAAGAATCATCCGTAGTTCACACTGCTTTGCCTGCACTGGCTTACGGAGAGGGGAACAGACCAAGGGGTCTCTCAGCAAGCTGCGTTTTTATTGGGGTGGGGGATCTATGCAAACGACTAAAGTCAGACCGTCCGAAATCAAAGCAGCAGTGACAACATAGTTCAAATCAAAGGTCAAGGAGAAAAAAAATTTTTTTTATCATTGCCTATGGATAGCCGTCCTTCCCATCGGTCATTACGTTTCTCCCTTCTTGTATTCCTGCTCCTTCTCCCTGCCACCTGTTGTCAGTCTCTTCCTTTCTGTGAAAGGTTGCTTAGCTTTTTAAGAAAATTTTTTACTTTCTGCTTTTTGCTTTTGCTGTTCTTTGTATAAAAAGTAGCAAATTGGATGGACGCATCCATGAGGTGTTTGAAATTCTCTGTAAACCCAGAGTCCAGAGACCAGGTGTGGAGAGGGCTGGCTGGCCCGGCAGGAGGCGCTTACCCTGGGTGGCCAGCTCCGTGGTTTTCTCAAAGGAGAGTGTCAGCACTGTGCTGCTTGTGAGCTCCACCAGCCGCTGGGTGCTTCTGTAGCCGGCCAGACAAGTTGATTATCTTTTGGATTTTAAGAGAGCAATCAAAGTAGACATACATCAGGAAGAGCCTCTTTCTCCCACTCCATCTTTTAGAACCAGAACATTCAGTAGTTGAAGTAAGAGCTCCCCCTAAGTCAACTGCAAAATGTCTGTCGTTTTAGATGCCACCACTTTTTTCCCCTCAGATGTTTGTGAATTTCATTTTGTATTTCACATCAGACCGGTGGTTGAGATTGGCGAGTGGCTCTTTAGACACGTGTTTTGTTTTGTTGACCTTGTTTCCATTCCATTTCTCTGTGTGCTGTGCACCGTCACAAGCTGTGTGACAACGGAAGGCTCTGCCCCACTTCCTGGACGAAGTAACGTGGTGCCCTCTGCTCGTGCCCTGGGACGTTTATGCCGTGTCCACCTCCTAAGCCGGCTGCTGAGAAAATCAGCTTCAGCCCTGTCAGGTTGTCTCTGGCAGCCGTTCCTAATAATTATTTATGCTTTGGAATTTCTTTCAGCTCCTGGAACTTTCTATCCAGTTTGATTTTCTCAGTGTGTACAACATATGCATATTCTCTTCTCTTTTGTCATTCCTCCCCCTCCCCCCATTTCGTTTTTTAATGTTCCATAGTTTTGTACAAGATGAGACTTAGCCTTGGGTACTTCTTGCTGAAGCTTTAATGCTTTGTAAATAAAAGCGGATGTTTATTAAAGAACAGGTGTAGATGTTTGTTTGTAGACACTGATCGCTTCCGAAACTCACCAGCCACTTTGATTTGTATGACCGAAAATGCAGTTTACTGTTGCTGATGTTCAATCTTTCTGTGTGGAGATGCAGACCTGGGAGGGGTAGGGCGGTGGTCACGGAGTCTGGAGTTCGGCCTCTAGACGAGATTATAAACAAACAGTTGAAGAAGAGAGTTGGTATTAAATCGCAAAGATTGTCTAGGAATGATCTCTCCAAATTTTTTAACTCTGTAAGTGTGTGTGAGTGCTTGATAGAGGCCGCAGTGCCGGGAGATATTCTGGATGTTACAGAAATGCATGCGAGGGCATTCCCTCCTTCCAGGCATCTTTCTTAAAGCATAAATACCATTGAATTCCTCTTTACTAGACTTAAAAAATCTAGACTAAATAAAACTCATTGAAATAGCTTTCAAACCCGTAAAGTCAGTTTAAGTCTTTGATTTGAATCATTGTCAAATTGTCAAATTTTAGCAGTGTCTACCGCTAATTTTTTCTGTCCTGTGACTAAGAACCCGTCTTTGACATCATAGCTGTTTCATAGCAACCTTGACCTGAGTGAATGATGAGCTCCTCTGGTCTGTAAAGGGAGTAGGCCAAGAAGCAGGCAGGATTAGGTGTCTTCTTCCCTAGAAGACACCTTCAGTGCCCTTGGGAAGGAAGCATGGTAGAATGGGAGAGAGGAGCCATACTGGGCATATTCCGCCCTCCCCTCCCCCTGCCCTTGCTGATAAACATTTGGATTCTCAAAGGGGGGCTTGGTCCTTGTCTTCATGAGATCTCATTTTTTTATTTTTTTTTTTTTTTTTTTTATTATTGGGGTTTTTTTTTTTTTTTTTTTTTGGAGAGAGAGAGAGACCGAGCACAAGCAGGGGAGGGGCAGAGAGAGAAGGAGACACAGAATCCGAAGCAGGCTCCAGGCTCTGAGCTGTCAGCACAGAGCCCGACACGAGGCTTGAACTCATGAACTGTGAGATCATGACCTGAGCTAAAATTGGAAGCTTAACCGACTGAGCCCCCCGGGCGTCCCCATGAATTCTCATTTCTCTTTAAAATTTCTTACACGTGAACAGTGTTTCGCACTTTACAAAGCGTTTTCGTGTACAGTTTATCATTTGATGCCCAAGGTGACCTTCCTGAAGTCGGCAAGGAGGTCTTAATTTACAAAGGAGCAAATAGAAATCGAAATTGAGGAAGGATCAGTCAGCTGCATCTCAGTCCAGAGTTCTTAATCCTTTTTTTACAGAAGGTTTAGGAGACTTTAAAATCAATAATAACTTAATGCAACATAATTTTTTTTTTTTTTTGACTTGGTATTTGATCTCTTACTTGGTCAGATTTAACTGAGGTTTTGAAGCTCGTTAATTTGGATCCCACACCTTGGAGAGGAGGAGCAGGGTAAGGAAGAATGTAGCTTCACTACGCATTTGACGTCATTTGGAAATTCGCTTCAGCTCCTGAAGTCTCTTCCCGAGAGGGTGGATTGAAATTCATTACAAGGGCCTGAGAAGAACGGAGACTCGTGAAATAGTCACTAACAAGAGCAAGTAAAGTAGCGAAGTTGGGACTTTTTTTCCTGCCTCGTGGCCTCGCCCCTTCGCAAGGACTGGGCTTGTGTTTATTGAGTTGCAGTGTTTCGCCGACAGTGGGTGCCGCGCCCTGTCTTGTGACATTGAACGCTATCTCGTGTCAAAGGAAGTAAGCTGTGATATCATAGAGGATTCACTTGGAACTCTGCGGGGTGCTGGCTGACGGTGATGAGATGCCCACCGAGACATGAAGATTTCAGCCGCTGGTCTCATCCTTGGGAGCCTGGTGTTCGCCTTCTCTCTGCCTTTGGTGGTGGCTTTGCCAAAAACACTGGCCATCCCTAAGCAGCTGCAAGAAGCCGTGGGGAAGGTCGTTGTCAATGCCACAACCTGTACTGTCACCTGTGGCCTTGGCTACAAAGAAGAGACAGTCTGCGAGGTGGGCCCTGATGGTGTGAGAAGAGAGTGTAAATCTCAGCGCTTGGAATGTCTGACCAACTGGATCTGTGGAATGCTCCATTTCACCATTCCCAAAGGGAAGGGATTTGAGCTCAGCTGTCTGAGTTCAGACATCCTGGAGATTGGGCAGGAAGCATTCCGGTTCACCTGGAGACTCGCCCGGGGTATCATCTCTACTGATGATGAGATCTTCAAACCCTTCCGAGCCAGTACCTCCTTTGTGAGGTTTCCCTCTGTTCAGGAGTACGACTCTGGGACATACCGGTGTGATGTGCAGCTGTTAAAAAACTTGAGACCTGTCAAGAGACTCTATTTTGGGCTGCGGGTCCTTCCCCCTGACTTGGTGAACCTGAATTTCCATCAATCCCTTACCGAGAATCAGAAGTTAGTTGATAAGGGCCTGGAAGCGAATCTAGACAACCAGTCCGAGCCCCACCGCCCACGGTGGAAGAAGAAGGTGGCTGTAGCCTTGGGAATAGGAGTTGTCGGTGGAGTGGCTGGTGGTGTATTGATGGCCATTGCTCTGGGCTTTGGGCTGAGGGTGGTCTATAGAAGTGCTGGCCTTGAGTCCTTAAAAGCCCTGAAGGACTGGCTGCCCAGGACCCTGGACTGGCTGTTTAGGAAGCCAAGCTAGCTCTTCAAAGGATTGTCTGGCTGAGTGATTGTGGCTCAGCCAGGAGGGAGGGCTTCCACTGCCAAAAGTGAGTGGGGCCCGGGGACAGGGGCAACACCATGGTAGGGTGATGGGCAATGCTCTGCCTCTCCGTGTCCCAGGTGGATCTCTTCCTGATCTTTCCTGCCCACGTGGCACCTGGGAAGCCCGAGTGTAGGCCCCTCCCCTGTCCCGGGAAGAAGATTCTGTCTTCAAGATCGCAGTCATTATCTTTCACAATTTGAGGCCTCTCTACCTCCATCCCTTCCTCTGAGTGGTATAATCACATAAAGGATATATTAATAGCTTTTCTAGTGGAAACCTTTTTTTCCTCTTCAATAAAAATAATTCACAGTGGCTGTGTATAGACCTGACCTTCTCTGCTCTTTAGTAAAAATCTCCTGCATATGTGTAAGTTGTCCCATAATCAACCTAGCTCTCCTCTTTCTTAGATTTCTTAGACATTGAGCACATCGCTTTGGAGGACGGCATATGCCCATGTGTGGCATTACACAAGCCAAGGCGATTAGTAATGGCATCTGACCCGGGTATGTAACAGCCACTCAATACATTGCTCCTTCTCTACGCCCCCGGTGAACCCTCTGTGTTCAGTGTTAAAGACTCCTGGTAAAACGCTGGACCCTTCACCTGGTAGGTTTCCCCTGAACAAGTTCCTTGGCTTGCCTCCTGCTCCTGTTCTTCTAGCTCTTGCAGTGCCCTGACGTGTGTGTTCCTGGAAAGGTCAAGTGTATTGGTTTCTTCCAGCAGCCAAGGCTGTCCAAGGAGGGACTAAGAGCTTCCTACCTCCGTAGGAAATACATCCTAAGACCCTCAGAGACCATTGAGGCAGTGTGAGGTAATTAGCTGATGGAATTGTCGGGGAAGAGGCTCAGCCACCCCCTGAGCTCATTCTGAGAGAATTAGAGCATTTCTTCTCCTCACTTTTCTCTAGCTGCAGACATGGTAGCAGATACGAAGACTTGGACTAGTGGTTCTCTTCTCTAGCTATGTGTCTGAATCACCTGGATAAACTTTTGAAACAAGATTCCTGAGCCCCAACCCTGAGGATGCTAACTCAGTTAAAATTATGGCTAATGGCTCATTATTCTATTAAAAACAATTTCAGGGGCACCTGGCTGGCTCCGTCAGTAGAGCGTGTGACTCTTGGTCTCAGGGTCATGAGTTTGAGTCCCATGGTTTAGCTTAACTAAAAGAAAAAAAAAAAAACGTTAAAAAATAATTTCCACGCCATAGAAAAGTGGAAAGAAAAGTTTGATGACAACCCATAGATCCTCTGCTTAGATCCACCAACTGTGAATGTTTTGCTACGTCTATCTTTCTGAATAGATGCTGATTTTACTGAACACTTGGAAGTTAGGCACAGACATTGTGACCCTTTACTCCTAGATCGTGTATGCATCTGCTAATAAAGATTCTTCTGTACAACTGCAACATCTTCACACCTAAGAAAGTGAACAATTCCCTAATCTTGCGTATGGTTGTTAATTCTCTGTCTTGCCCAACTTCTAAAATCTGATAGCCTTTTAACGTTTGATCCAGGATCGAATGAAGGTCCACATATTACCTCTGGTTGTTTCTCTTAAGTCTAGTTTTACAACAGACCTCCTGGGTTTTTTGTTGCTGTTTTGCATGACGTTGATCTCATTGAAAAGTCTAGCTGGGCCGATTGTCCTGGATAGTGCCCCACAGTCCGGGTTTGTCGTCATTGTCACATGACCGGATTGCGGAGGAATGGATCTTCAACATTTTTTGATGACAGCTCCACACAAATGATGTCCAGTGCTCACCACAGGTGCACGGTGTCGGGTGATTCGTTACCGATACGATACGCGCGACGATTTGGTTAAGGTGGTGACTGCCCGGTCTCTCCAAAGGTGTATTTTTTTTTTTTTTCCTCTTGTAATCACTTATTTGTGGGACAATACTTTGTGATGATCTGGTTTCCTAAAAGCCATTAACGCCTTGGAATCCATTCACGATCCTTGCTTATTACCTGCTGGGAACTGCAGCGTCTTTAATGTGCCCTTGCTGTACTTATTAGGCTGCATTTTTCTGTAAAGGAGAGCTACTCTTTATTTTTGAGCTCTCTGTGGGTTCTCTTTTTTAGTGCATTATATATAATCCGTTAATGCCTCATTTCTGGTGTTTAAATCGTCCCCAATTTTGGCCAGTGGGAGTCTCTTCACTTGTCCTTTTATTGTGGTCCCATTTGACTTGGAGCATGTCCTTGCTTTCTAGAACCACAAAATGCCTCAGATCCACATTTGGACTTTGCTTTCTCCGAGGGGTTCTGGTTTCCTTTTGGTGTGGGCAACAGTATTTAGAAGCCAAGGTCTGGTCTGGGTGCTAAATGCACTCACCGCCACTGGGGGGTCATTGCTCTTAGGTTCTTTCATTGCCCCAGATACACATAAATCTTAGGAGTTCAGAGCATCTCTGCTTTTCAGAAGCTTTATAGGTAATTCTGGTGGAGAGCGAACATTGAAGACCACTGGCGTAGGCCCACGCAAAGTCTACAATTTACTGTAGACTTATTTTGAAAAGATCTTAAATTTTCCACACCCCCTTTCCCCCATTCTCTCTACCTCAGAGGGAACGGGCTTCGGAAGACCTGGGTTGTGCTTCTGTTTCTGCCGTTGACTGTAGCTGAGCGGGTGGACTGACCCACCTGTGTGTGTGTGTGGGGGGGGGGGCAGGTGAGCCCGGTCCTGCCAGTAAAACGGCTGGAAGCCATGAAGGGCTGGACATGAGTTAGAGAAGGTTTCTAATGAAGCACCTTCGTTTGGCTCTGGACGGTGTGTTCAAGCCCTCGGGAGAGCGCTTGCTATCCTTGGAAAGACCATAAAACAGGATCTTTAATGAACTCCGTGTGATGTTGCTGAGGGGGGAGGAGGGCTCAAGGGGCACGTTGCCCATTTTACAGATGGAGAGCCAGACCCAAGAAGAGTCAAGTGACCCGTCCGGCCCCTGTTGCAAGCCACTAGTCGAGCATGGGATGGAATATTGTGCAGCTCTAGGCTCATGGCCTTCTGTGCTTTGGGCTCTTGAATGTTGACTCAGAGGATGGGAAGGGATTGAACAGGGAAGAGGAAAGGAAAAAACAAACCCCAAACCCCTCCAAGGTGTTATTAAAGACCGGAACTCAGTTCAGTTTATTGAATCCGTGCATGTAGTCCGCCCCTGGAGGGATGGTCAGGGCCATGCCGACTGACCGAAATTTAGGTTCCAGGCTGGCCGGTGCTCCCAGCAGCCCCTCTGGATGCAGAGTGGAAGAAGGGATTAGCCTATCGCACAGCTGTCCGCGCCGGCCCCTCCTGGGGGCTCAGGGGGCCCTGGGCGCATCGCTAAGCGCGGAGGAGCAGGGCCTCCGCTTGCCCCCGTCTCCCTCTTCTCCGGGGCAGGCGGTGGGGCGCAGTCAGCACGGAGCCCTTCCGCTTTGTATGGAAAGACTCGAACGCGGCGCTGTGCCAGTGGGTCTCTGTGCGCGTCTCAGAGCTAACGGAAGCTCGGCAAGTGTTTGTTGAACGCAGGGGAGAATATTGCAGCTGCAAAACGTTGAGTAGGAATTCAGATTTTCTTGGCTGCTGAGAGCAGAGACTGGTGGCAACCTTGCTGGTTGGCGGCCACTATAACCCTGCAGGGAGAAGATTTCCCTTTGGTACCGTTGAGTCTGGAACTGTCAAATGTCTTAGAAATCAGGGAAGCCCGAAGCGATACCGTCATGAGCAGTGTTCGCTGCCCTGTGTTAGGTAAAGCCAGCGCGGCCGGCAAGATGCCTGCTTGCACTCTGCTTAGGCCTGTCTTTTTTTTTTTAATGTTTATTTATTTTTGAGACAGAGAGAGACAGAGTGCAAGTGGGGGAGGGGCAGAGAGAGAGGGAGACACAGAATCTGAAACAGGCTCCAGGCTCTGAGCTGTCAGCACAGAGCCCGACGCGGGGCTTGAACCCACGAACCGTGAGATCATGACCTGAGCCGAAATCGGGCGCTCAACCGACTGAGCCACCCAGGCGCCCCTGCTTAGGCCTGTCCTAAAGCCCCTTGGCCCAGTTCTTCCCCCTCTGAGGCCTGCGTGACGCAGGAGGGGCTGTGTCTTGTTCCTTCCTTCGAGCTGACTGTGTGAGGGGAAAGGCATCGGCCACAAGACTGGGGTTCGAGAGCAGGACAGGAGGCGTGCTTCGGCCCGACGATAAAAACACCCACGGCAGGTGCCAGCTGCCTCAGCAGGTTGAGAAATCATCTTTATTTAAGAACTGCCTGCTACCAGAGTCAATAAATAACTACCATTACAAGAAGTACAAGAGAGACAAACGATAGGCCAGTGGAAGTGGTTCCATTTCAACAAAATCGGGGTCAAGTCGGGGGTCCGAAGAAGCCCCAGCCCTCGCCCGGCTGTGACACTAAGCTAAGCAGGCCCTGGATGGGGCTGGGTAAGTTGGAGTCTAGGGACCAAGGCAGGGTGCACCCCAGCTAAGGACACTCGGCTTCCTGGGCCTCGGGGCAAAGTTATCTGACCTATTTTTTTCCTCCCCAGCTTCCCTTTATTATCCTGCCTTCCTAAAGTCTATGACCCTATATACAGCTACCGGGCACCTCTCTCTATGGAGCTTTTAGAAGTCCCTTAAAAATGCCCACCTCGTCCCTCACACCACCCCAGGAGCCTCTCTGGCAACCTCATTCATCCCAGCATGAAGCCCAGGGTCGGTCTGACCCGGGGAAATGGGGCACCACACTTGAGCCTCAAAACCAGGTTTGAGGAGAAGTCTAGCCCTCCCACCAACCCGGAGATGCCCAGCCGGCCGTCCCACATCTGAGCCAGGAAGAGAAAAGGGGAGTCCTCTGGGCAGGGAGGAGATCAAGGGAGTAAAGCATCCTCAGCCAGCTTGGGTTCTTGCCCCGAGGGGACTAGATGGCCCCGGTGCTGTCTTCCACTCTTCTACTCTTCCGCGAAAGAGTGCCTGAGGTGAGCCTTCCCCCCTGGTGACACGGCTGTCACTACCCCTGTGGGAAGAGGCTGCAGCAAAAAGGGGCTGCAGGACTCCTCCGGTGCTGATCTAAACCTCAGCCCTGGAAGGACATCCAGCAGCATGTCCTCACACCCCCAGACTCCACCTCACCTAGACCCCAGGCCAACAGCTGTCAGAATTCTTCCAAGGTCCCTAGAAAAGGAAGAAGCCTCTTGACCACTCACCTTCGGGCCTCATTGCAGAAGCTCTTCCCGGTGTCTAATCTCAGATTTCCTGTTATTTTATCAAAAGGGAAAAAAAAGCCCCTCCTCATGGCCTTTCTGTTCCGTGGCCCGTCTGTACCATTTGATGGCCTGGCTGGGCCGCGAGACCCATCTGGA